ACTCAATTTGCACTATTTCTGGCAGTCTGCAAAGGCCCTTAAATTAGTCTTCTTCTAATTTCCTGACTGCTGTCCCCATTTCTATCAATGCTTGATCCCAGGTATGGGAATTCTTTTACTATTTCTGTTTCTTCATTGTCTAGGTTGAACTTATGAAGGTCTTTGGTGGTCATTGGTTTTGTTTTCTTTATGTTCAACTGTAAGCCTGCCTTTGCACTTTCTTCTTTGATCTTCCTTAGTAGGTGTTCCAGGTCTGTGAGGTTTTCTGCTAGTACTATGGTGCCATCAGCATATCTTAACATTGTTGATATTCCTTCCTCCTATTTTCACTCCTCTTTCTTCCGTGTCCAAGCTTGCTTTTCTTATAATATGTTCTGCATACAAGTTGAACAGATAAGGTGAAAGGATACAGCCTTGTCTGACCCTTTTGCCAATTGGGAACCATTCTTTTTCTCTGAATTCTGTAGGTTAACTGAAATCAGCACTATGCATCTGGAGAAGTAGACCAAGTTTACAAAAGCTTATGCTATAACTTCTTTCACGCAGTCAGTCTCAAGATCCCTTTCCGTGCTGAAAATCAGTACTGCTATTTGCTATTTAGGTGCAACTCAGCTTTGTTAATAGCAAATTTTTTATGGCCAACTCTGCATGTTATCAATTTTGACTGTCCCACCTTATTGTTATTTTGAAAACCTTGCAAGATAGGTTGCACTGTGATGGGGAATAAAATGGCTTGGACAAGTCTAACTTTAGTGCTCAGTTGCATATTTTACTCTCTAATATCTTGTCTAGTTCTTCCATCACTGCACTTCCCATCCCTAGTCTTCCTCAGCTGGTGTTGCTGGGTAGCTGGTTGTACCTGCTGAAATTCCTTCATCTGCACAACTATTTAAGGTATAGAAGCTCTTTCTTTTATTCACTATGGCAACTCTGTTTGCCCAAGACCTAGGTCTACCCATTGGCAAATATTCTCAAAGTACCCTCTTGTAATTGTTGTTGTTGTTGTTGTCATCTTGTGCCTTCAAGTCATTTCCTATTTGTGGCAACCCTAAGGTGAACCTATCACAGGGTTTCATTGGCAAGATTTATTCAGAGGAGGTTTGCCAATGCCTTCCTCTGAGGCTCAGAGTGTGTGACTTGCCCAAGGTCACCCAGTGGGTTTACATGGCCAAGCAGGGAATAGATCCCTGGCCTCCAGAGTTGTACAGTTGTATCCCTAATCCTCACTTTGCATGCAAATGACACCTGTAATGAGAAGGCAAACTGTGTTGATTAATTGTCCCTCCACTAAGAATAAAATGTTTGTTAAGAATGTATATGCCACTATTAGCTGAAGGTATTTATAAGCAAAAGCTTTGTGCTCTCACTGACATTTTAAAGTAAGAATCTTATGATCTCATCTTGACCTGACACGCTTCTCAGGTTTTTGCTCTCAGGGCAAGATGTTTCTTAGACCTATTACAGATACTACATATCACCTCTAATGTGAGAGACAGTGTATGCCCCTGTAGACCAGTTGCTGTGGTACACAGATAGAGAGTACAGTTGCTCTTTAGCTCTTCTTATATTCTTATGTTCAGTGAGGGGAAGCAGGATCTACTTTGGCTGGAAATCAAGGGTGTGCATAGTGCTGGTTGGACAGCTTGATCACTCATATTTTGTCTTTTTCCCTACAGAGTACGATCACTTGTTCACACTTTCCACTACTTAGGACAGGCAAAGCTGTCATCTGAATGAGGAACACTGCTTGCTCTCAGTCTGTCACTGCTTACTTTCACAGTGAAACTTTTATCCCAAAATGTAAGTGATACTTGTGGCAGAAATTGCACGGGCTTTTGAAATGAAGAATATTTATTTCAGATAATTTCCATTGATAAAAACAGTGGGGACTAAGACTTAAGTTCTTGCCTAGCTGTGAAGAACATAAAAAGCAAATCAAAGTTCAATGTAAACTGTCTCGCTTTAAACTCTTGTCTGTTTAAACCTGTTGCCTTTTTCTTACACTTCTCTTATACAGCCTCCAGAGTAATCATATTTATTTCTTCCCACAGTTATTTCCTCCTTTGTACTCTCTAATGAACAATTAAATTGTGTGCCTATGTGTTCAAAGGTGTTTCTGTTAAAAAAACAACAAGCACTGTTACAATCACAGCATTATTAGCATGGGATCTGTGTTCCCATATCAGTTCAATATCTGCAACAATATTTATTTATGTGTGTTGTACTCACACAATATTAGTTTACAGTTAAAATATACACAATGATGAAATATGATCAGAGATGTATGATGTGAGGACTGATTTTCTTCTGGCCTCTGAGCAGTTAATGTCATTGTCTAAGTTCCAGGGACATTTCTCCTGAGAACGTGCAGAAGAATTCAGTGACTCCTTAAATCAGGGGTAGGCACCCTTTTTGAGCCAGGGGCCAGGTTGCTGTCCCTCAGACAATTGGGGGGCCGAAGCACCAAAAATAAATATATAAATAAATATAAATAAAAATAAAAAAATAAAAAAATAAAATAAAAAATATGCATGCACACTCTCTCAGCCCCAGAAAAGCCATGGCAAAACCCCTGTGGAGATTTTGCCAAGAAAACCCCAAGAACAAGTAATAACAGTAATCAGTATCATCATGGTGGGCAGCGGTGGCGGCAGGACCGGCCTGGGGCCTGTCCAAAGGCCTCGGGAGGGCCCATCCAGCCCCCGGGCCTTAGGTTGCCTACCCCTGCCTTAAATAAAGACACCTACAAAAGCAGTCCCTAGCAATTGATGATACAATCCAGGATCTATTCTGTATGACTGGAACAATGTTTATGATTACAATGTGTGATTTGTTTTTCTAAATTGTGAAAGCAGTTCAAATCCCTATTCCCCAGGTGGTTTTAAACCAGTCAAGTCCTCTTAACCTACCCTGCCTCACAGGACTGTTGCAAGTATAAAATAATGTATTCCATCCTGAGCACCTTGAACACAGTGAGGCCAGGAGGAAAATGTAAGTCTTTTCATCTTTCTTTATGTGCAGCTGTTGTAAAGTGCCCTCCATTTATGTTGGGACAAAACTGAAACACATTCATCACTTTTTATCTTGAGACCCTTCAATGAATTCAGGTTTCAAACATCTGAGCATCTACCAGTGAGTACCATTATGTTGTTGAACTGTTAGATTATTTTTCCTATATTGGGGGAAAATGTTCTTTTTTACAATGCAATTATTGATTTATTGCAGGGGTAGGCAACCTTTTTGGGCTGGGGGCCGGGTTGCTGTCCCTCAGACAATTGGGGGGGCCGAAGCACCAAAAATAAATAAATAAATAAATTAAAATTAAAATTAAAATTAAAAAATTAATAAAAATTAAAAAAACATATGCATGCACACTCTCTCAGCTCCAGAAAGCCATGGCAAAACCCCTGTGGAGATTTTGCCAAGAAAACCCCAAGAACAAGTAATAACAACAATAATCAATATCATTATGGCAGGCGGTGGCGGCGGTGGCGGCAGGACCAGACTTGGGCAGGTACAAAGGCCTCAGGGGGCCGCATCCGGCCCCCGGGCCTTAGGTTGCCTACCCCTGATTTATTGGATATAATATCCTGCCTTTCTCCCAAGATGGGATTCAAGGTGGCAGTTCTATAATCTAACCAAATGGCCTTTTTTTTTTCTTTTTTCTTTTTTTGGATTGAGGACTGCTTTATAAACTACACTTATCAATTGAACATGTATTTCATTTCCGAGTGGTTAACCATGTTAATCTGTTTCTACAGAAACAACAAACACTACTGTGACATCTCAAAAACATACATGTGTTATGGCCTTTACTTTCATGAACTTTAAATGCTATAGTAAATTTATTGCTGTTTAAGGAATCATCTGCTTTTGGACTTATCTGCATATGTTTTCAATTAATATGCTAAATAAACACTCATTTTACCAGATGTATTATACTAAAATACAAATGCTGGAACTATAATTGTCCCCAACTTGTTGAATTAGGTTTCTTGTAATATACACATAATGTAATGATGTACTTGTGTGTATCTTAAGAGATTCCAGACAATTGTTATGTATGGTCATACATACAGGTTCTGCATATGAAACTTATAAGGTATGGCCAATACTTGGACTTTACAAATAGAGTACATATCATTTTACTACATATACCAGTTTTCTTCTGAGAAGCTTCACACATGTGGTTTCTATCTTTACAACAGTCCTGTGAGCTAGGTAAGGCTGAGAGAGTGGCATGACCAAGTAAGGTTTGAAGCCATTTCTTCTCATCCCTAGTCCAACCTTTCATCCATTCCACAACAATGTGTGGTATTATAGAATCCAAAATCTGGTGAATTCTTATTACTTCCAGAAACAAATACTGAGTATG